AATGCATGCCGCGTGCTAAAGTAGTACCACATACACAGATACAAAATAGACGATATATTTCATCGCAGATTTCCAATCAATAAAAGACAAGAAGGAAAAATAAAAAGAAAGAAAACATGACAAGAATAAGAAGAATGTATTTTTGTCGTTTAAGTTTTTAAACCAATTATTCTGTGCACACAAACTTTGTGCATGCGCCACTCTTTTTATCAATGATGATGAATTCACACTAAATTGCGCACAATACTTTATGCTTCTTGGCGAGAGAAGATCTAAGTACGCCTAATCATGTGATGAATACAATCAGCGACAAAACTCTTTTATATAGATATGTATTACTTGAACACACATGAACGAGATATTTAATGGCGGTAAAAAGAAATTTCTCTAAATCTGCTCGATAATACATCAAATTTTTTTTTTATTTTATCACGTATATGTGTATATGAATAACGGTATGAATGTGAAATAAAACATATATACATATCTACACACCCTACCGCATCTCATGTTTATTTTTAAAACTACATATGCTAAAAACTACATTAACTATGTGCATAACATTGATTATACACATCTTGATGAAATCATAACGGTAAAAATTTAAAATATTATTATTGTTAATAATATTTTGAATACTTTTTTCTTCATAATAAAATATCTTTCTAAAATAATAATCTCGGTGTTAAATCGGCTTATCCTACAAAAGAAAAAGAAAATCAGATTAAACATTGTTAATGTTATAAAAACACGTTGAGTTTTATATTTGTTAACTATTGAGCAATATTCGCATTAATCTGTTAAGATCAGAGAGTTTCGTGACAAGCTATAATCTATAAGCTTAAGCAAAAAATCCATTAACGCTATCGGGAAATCATCTGTTTTGAGGACGTGGGAGGACAGCAACGTTACTTTATGACATCACAGATCTATTCCCGGTACACAAGAGGTCACGCAGATAAAACAAGTCTTTACACCGTAATAAAGGAATACGTGTGAATTTGATGACGTGAACCTACTCAAGAAAATGCACTTTTTTAACAATATCGATTTCTTCATTACTTTTATCTTTTCGTCAGCTTTTACTAATATCGCATATAAAATATCATATGTGCTTTTACTAATAGCGCATATAAAATATTAATTTGATGTGCACATTATGTTAATTAAAATAATATAATTCTAGGAAAAATACTTATTTTTCAAAGTTTTAAAGTTTCTTCTAATAACGTTTTAATAAATAAAGAAAACTTTTTTGTTAGCTGTAAACTAAGGCGAAGAACGCTACAAATATGAAACTACGCGCACACGCGCGCGTATATTTAGTGCGCGTATGTATATTTAGTATGCCTATATAAAGTAATGCCTCGCTAACGTGCCGAATTTGTTTTTCGGTATCTTGCCGGGAGTCATCTCCATCATTTTCTAGAAGTGTTTCGCCGAGGCTTCGCGTGAATTGATGGGAATGATTCTGTGGCGGTCGAACTCGTGGTCGAGCTAATCAGAGATAACAGCCGGCAATTCTCGGAACAATACTTTCCTCGACATCTTTCCACTTGCAGAACCGAGGAGCAGAAAGTTAGCGAGGCACTACTGTATATAGGCAAACTAAATGTGTAAAAGAATAAAGCGCTTTGATAGTCTCTTTTGTGATCTTTCTATTAACAATTAATCGCACAATTAACAATTAATTATTAGAATGCTTTATCACAAGTTAAACATTTGCAACAATTACGCAATAACAATTGTAAAAAAAAGACCAATATTCAATTATTATCGTTATCGGTTATACTCGGTGATATTTATAACAATTCTTTTGACCACAATGTGCTAGTTTCTCTTAATTCTAATAAACAAGACCTTTTAATTTATTACTTAATAATATATTCGTAATTATTTCTTATATATTATCTTCTTATATCACTTTCATGTAAAATTGATAAATAGATAAATAATAACTAAAATATATACATATTTTTATTCTTTTATTACAAGAAAATCTTCGAAATCCTTTTATAAAATTTAAAAACTAAATAATTATAATTAATTATTATTAATTATATATATATATATAATATATCGTCACGTATAATCCTGTAACTTCAAAACGCAAATTGTAGAGGAAAGCAGTTTAAAAGTTTAAAGCTTCATATGTTTCCTGTTAAGGGATTATTTTTCGATTTAAAATTTTTATCTTACTTATGAATATTTTTTTTGAATATTTGGTGATCATAAAGAACATGACTTTCTAAGTGTCATTATGTAATAAACTGAAAAAAAATCCCGTATGTGACTCTAATATAATTATACGTAGGGAGTGACGATATATATGTGTATATGTTACTTTTTTGCAATAAAATCTAAAATCTTGCGCAATCTCTAGCAATATACACTATAAGAGAGAATGTATGACATTCGAATGTGAAGATCGAATCATTGTTTACTGTCGTGACAATGATGTCAAGAAGGTTAAATGCTGGTGTATTGTAAGACATACAAGGAATCTGTTTCAAAATTGCAAAATATATTTTAAGATGCAACCTCCTCATTTTCTTGTTTGATATTATATACGGAAAAACTATTAATTATTCATAAGTATTTAATGTGCAAAATAAAAATTAAATTAAAAAACAAAGTTTTGAATTTTTTGTATAAGAAGCACACTTAAGAATTTTTTATTTATATTGATTAATGTAAGCAAACTTCAATTTAAAAAATCGATTTCTAATAATATACTGCACTGATCAAATATTTTTATTTTGCTACTTTAATTACTTATTATTTCAAATTTAATTGATTTTGTATTATTCTCCAATTGTTAATTTCTTATTTTTTTTTATCTGCGTTCTCGACTAACAAACTGTATTCTCGGCCGCAAAATTCACAACGCAATATTACGCAACAGCAGTTCCTCGCATTGTAAAATGATCGACAGGCTCCAATTCGAGTCACACGCCTCGTAAAACTCGTTTCTCTTTGACAAAAGGAATAAGAGGCTAAACGTTTATAATTAGCAAACATCTCGAGACTCTCTGAGCGGCGATCGAGAGAATAAACCATCTTTTTCTTGGCACAAAACATCGACCACGTTGGTCAAATCGATGATGATTTGATTTTTCGTAACTTATTAACTTATTCATGATATGATACACTCGTCGTTTCTTAATTCTAAACACATTAATTTCAAATTGTATTATTATATTTAATAGATATATATTTATATACATATATATATATATATATATATATATATATTTAATATTATATAATTATAATATCCATTATAACAGTCAATTGTAAATATTGTTTTTATACAATAATAGATAAGACTGTTTCACAGATTGTTGAATCATATAGAATTATATATTAGTTTTGCAAAAGAGTAAGCTTTATACAGAGAGCTATCAACAGTATTGTTTTTCATCGATCACGCTCTGTGAAGACGTTTTTATAACTTCTACGTGTTTCTTACTGACCTTCAACTACTACTGCCACCTCATGTTTCATAATTAATACAAGTATTCCCAATGTTTCTTCTAATGTGTTAGGATTACAATAAGTGCTTATTAATGTACCATATTGATATCACTATTGACAGATATTGTTAACTCTTCTTTAACATCGCTAAAAAAAATCTTATTTTTTTAATTACTGACGCTAGTTTTGTTATTGTACTTTTTTCTGCTGTAATTTTATTTTTTATTATACTTCATTCTACTTTCTTGAATCCAGATGAATGTGTGACTGCACTTTCTTTCTTTCTCTTTTTTTCGCAAGATAATAAGCTAAATTATGTTCACGGAATTCTTAATATAATCGCAGACTGTATTCTCAGAGAGAACGATTTATAATAATATTCCATTCTCTCTTCGGTCTCATCACAGATTTAACGAAATATTCTTGTTTTGTATTGCTATTTTCGGATAATTGATGAAAGTTTTACCGCGATTGATGATCTTTAAATAACGCAAATGCTAATCTCTTTAGTACAAGTGTTTAGTGCTTTCTTCATGTGGAATATATATGCGACACATCAATTGTTAGATACAATGATAATTATATTGTTAAATGTTGTCTCAATAGAAATTAATTCTCTCATTGAATAGAAAAATATCTTTGTGTACATTTATGGATATTAATATTACATTCTCGAAGAGAATTAATAATGCATTCTCGAAAACACATCTCTAAACAAAGATTTGTTATACTAATTGCATAACAACTAGAGAGTAATGATCTCCAATAGCAGTCTCTTTAAACGCAATCTAACACGCGCTATTTAATAATTAATTATAATATTTCTGTCAGACAAAAAATTGAAACATTAATTAGTCATATAAATAAAAGTTTCTACTGTTTTATTATAAAAAGTTTTTTCTTTCAAATTTTTTAACCATTTCTTACCCTATAACTCAGTCAGTTAACGTTGGCTAAAAAAAGCACGCCAATAGTTCCCAATACAAACATAGGCGTATTGCACATGTTACGCTAACAAAATGTACGTTTTTTAAATAAAACAATCTACAGATTTAATCTCTCTTTACTACTTTATAAACTCGAGAAAAAATACTATTACTATTACTATTTCTAATATTAATATTATTGTTAATTATACTTATATATACATACACACAAGCATACACACAAAGTAAAACTAGTGAACCTGAACATATTGCAAACAATTATATATAAAAACTTCAGTAAATAATAAACTTAGAAAAAAGATTCAACAAAACCGGAAGTTTTTGAAAACAAAAACAATTTCATCGAAGTTATTTAACAAAATCTCTTTCGGTTTTAAAAACTGTTTCCATAAGGATTAATTTATAATAATTTAAAGCTTGATTTGTAATTGATTTTCGAAAGGCTGAATTTTTTCGAAGAGATTAAAAATTCAGAAAAACAGAATGAATAAGATGCCGCTGCAACCAGCACCGGTTACTCCATCGTTAGAAGCAACTTTTCATAAAGGGAGAAGATTGCTCCGATTATGTACTTACCTCGTTTGAGAGGCGCGACATGCATGACTCTTGGAAGGACCGATAAGAAGGGCGGATCGTAAGACCGCCTCTCATGACACCACGCCGCTACTTTTCAGTGCAACCACCGTCGTTTGCGCCTTACGCAGCTGCTATCCTCACGCTTCGTCCTTGTTTGCGATTCTTTTTCCGCCCCGTCGACTTCTGCTCTTCTCCACTTCCGGAACCGGTCCCTAACTGCTTCTTGTCTCTTCCTTTTTCAGCCCGCGTTTGCTCTTTTTTTTTCTCTCTTGTATTTTATCTTTTCTTCTCTGAATTGCAAGTTTTGACTCGCGCAATAATTATGCGATTTATTAAAACGCCGTAAGATCTAGAACATTTTCTCATAAATATTTCTAATTCACTGACGAATTATCGCTGACACGCCTTTGTTAAAATATTACTTTTACGACACACCTCCACTGGACTCTCGCGCTTTACTGGGCGTTCGTCGTAGGTGAGGTCTGCTAGAGCCATCAGTGCGAGGACAGAGGGACAGCGAGGGCGAAAAGGGGAACAACCGACGCGACGCAACGCGCGCGTCAGAGAACTCGCTCGATACCATCGACGGGACGACGCCACTGCGAATCCTTATTCAAGTATCTCTTTCGATTATTCCGCATTTGTCACGCGCATCCTGCGTGATTGACATGTATTTAGCGAGCGCGAAAAATATCGATGATATCTTAAAAAATATCTCATTCATAAAAGATTCCAGTCGTTCATTTGTTTGATTTCTGTAAAACTTACTTTTTTTAAATAAAAATATGTATGCCTTATTTACAATTACATATCTCGTTTTGTTGTTATATACTCTTAGGAAAATAGATAAAATATAGTTACAGAATATTTTCTTTGTGTAAAATCCAATGTGTAATGGCGAAAAAAATGGAAAACTTAAAACAGCTAATATAGGCTGCGTTTTGATATTCACACAGTCACACAGTACTGGAAATCTATAATATATATAACATACATTATAAATTTTTAGCATATTTTTAGTCATGAATTATAAATTTTTAGTACTGATGCGCAGTGAACGTCGGAATGCAGCTATTACATACAACGCAAACATAAATGTTTTAAATGCCATAATAATGGAAAGATATTTGAAATTCACTTATAACTAGCAAGTGCATGGAAAAAAGATTTGCTAGAATAGCAAGAAATTGCTACATGGTCAACGAGACAAATTTGCTCAGTTTACCGAAATTTTTGTTTTGCCAAGGAAACATTTTGTTGTTCCAACAAAACGTTTTGTTGATAAAAGATAGTAGATTCAACAAAGTTTTCTCGTTGATCGTATAATAACAAAACTTTTTCCCGTGTGAACTTTGTCTTTAATGTAACTCTTCAAATGTTATTTTCCATAAATAAAACTTAGTTTTTTTATAAAAAAAAAAATATGACTTAGAATCAAACAATCTCCAATTTTATTATAACTTTTTAAAAAATATATCTATATATTATAATTAAGTGTATTTTTAAGTTTTTTTTAAATATATATATATATTTTTTTAAAATATATATCATGATCTATAATATATGATACATAATTCATTTCTTAATAGGTCATATATAGATTGTAAAAAAACATAAGTAAATATTCATTCCATAAAAAATGTTACTTCAAGTATAATTAAAAACTTTCAGTAAAAAGAGTTTTAGGCTCTTAAGTTTCAAACTAACAACGCGAAATTTAAACGGTCATGAGCGTCTTACGCTGGATGTTTGTTGCGGAATAAATAAATAAATAAATATATATATATATATGTATATAATTTATATTACACTTACGTGTAAATTTTTACACGTGAGTTTGAAGACTTTCTTTTTGATAACAATATTCCTGATCGATTTTTCTTACAAATAATTACAATCTCAATTTGGGACTTGATAACTCGAATATTACTGCGATTATATGTTATTTTATTTCTTACGTTTCGAAAGTTTAAAGACAAGATTTATTTCTTCTTTAAAATGATCGCATTATAAATGATCCTAAGAAATTAATTTATTTTGTTATTTTGGGCACACTGACGTCGCACACAAAATGTTGCATGTACACAATTGAATTGTATATTGTAATAATATATAATTATGTATTACATATAAATGCGCGTATCTATATTACATGTGTAATATATTAACATATGTATACGCGTTATCGATACATCATTTTATAATACATCATTGGTTGTATTTCTTCCATTTTCAGCTTTAAATGGTAGACAACAAACTTATTCATAGAAAACAGTGCAAGACATACGATCGGATAAAATGTACAATGATCACTATTATGTATGTATACATATTTATTAGTCCTTAACAAGTAAATAGACAACATAGATAAAAAAAGTAAGGTCGGAATGTTTTAATGTGCAGTAATGAAGTAACGATAAACGAGAGTAGCGAGCACTCCGAGGACAATTGGGATTACCCAAGACCGCCAAGAACTGCAATTTTCAATCGTCACATCAGGATGCAGCATTGACTCCACATAATAAATTATTTTTAAAAAATAAAATTTTTGTGTGCTTAACTTTCAGATGGTATTAATGTTTACTTAGTCATTATATTTATACGCGAATGTGTACACATGTATATAAGTAAAAGTTATTGTACTAAGCCATCATATTGTTTCTCTTATAGATAAAAGTTGACAGAAAAAGCAACTTTCCAAAAGATAAGAACAAAATAATGAAAAAATTAGTAACAGCACTAATAAAACCTTTTTTATCTTTGTGCATTGTAAAGTTACTTTTATGAAACTTGCGAAAAAAATACTGTATTGCGAAAAATTTTTCATAAGAGTCATTGTTTTAATTAAAGATACGTAATTATCAAGATAACAAAAAATGCTTAATATTATGTTCTTAAAAGACAAACTACAAATTTAAAAAAAAATGAAATAAAAAAATAAACTTATGAATTTGATAAAATATAATTTCTATATCGCATTTTGTAAAATATAATTCTTACATTTATACCATCTTTATGTAAATAAGTAAAATCAAAAACTGAAGTAAAAACAGAATTACTTAAATAAAAGGAAAGTACAGAGGAAAAGGTGTTTGGAAAACAAAAACTGTGTGCTTGAAAAAACAAACTTTCTAAAATACTGTGAATATCAGTGTGATAAGACTGTTAGATACATTTAAGTAAACATTATAAATATAATTGCAAATATAATTGTATAAATATAATTGCAAATATAATTGTATAAATATAATTGCAAATATAATTGTATAAATATAAGACATACCTAGAATTATCGTCATTGCCAGAAGGCCCGTTCTTATTTGAAGATTTAGTTAAATCTTCTATCTTTTCTTCCTAAAATTTACAATTATTATTTCTTAATAATCCTATAACTACAATTGTGCAATAAAGAAACAAAATTACAAAAAATATCAGATCCATTAACAAAATTAAGTTATTTCTATACCTCTAGTAGTTCCCCGATTTTATAAGATGACATAATTTCTCTTGCATCCGATGAATGTCCAATGTCCTCAAAAGGTTCCGTAGCATCACGTCCAGCTTGCTCTGTAAGAACTTCCTCACCTCCAGGATGCTATGCATTGAAAAAATAATATAAATATATATATAAGCCAACTTTTAATAATAAATAATAAAAATATTTTACAAATATAGAGAATTATATACATTACATTTCAATATTTAACTTACATTTAAGTATTTTTATTTGTTTTTCTTATGTAATACTTCATATGTGTTTTATAGCTGTTACTACAATTTTCTTATGTAATAATCAGAATGATCACTTTTTACACAAATTTAATACTTTTTTCACTATTATCCTTAAGGAAACAAGATGCGGTAACATTTGTTACGCGCAACAAGAAACAACACTGTCAGCCAATCAACATTTTGCAAGAGAAATCAATCATATTAGATGTTTTTTTTTTTAAATGACAAAAACAGTCAAATTATGAAACTAAAAATCATCATTAACAACAAACATTCGTTCCACAATAAATGAATAATTTCATTTCTCTACGTTTATTTATTTTACTGCCACTAACTGCAGTCCAAAGGCAGGAAGGTCTAACTATATTTTAATTTATTATTTTACTGCCGTTTTTTCCAATAAAAATCATCATGTTTATTTTTTCCGCTGTGATTATGATGTCGAAATAATGTCACTTTGACATGTGACATGTTTTTTTGAAAAAAGATTATGATACTAGTGTATATATTATCGCATTTCTTTTTTTTTTTATAGGAAAAAACTTGCTAACCTGCTCAAGGAATCGAGTAACATTGTAGACATTGTTATGGATAATGATCCATACGTCCTTGGAATCGGTATGTTTCGCAACTTCGGCTCGTGTGTAAAATTTAGTTGTTGAAGATGCAGCCGTGTCATCCTTAGTTTCTTTAGCTGCCATTTTCGGTCTCACCGGATTTTTTTAACAGTTCTTCTTCTCTTTTGGTTTTGATCTGAATCAAAATTCAAGAAAACTCGCAAATACTCTTCGATGAATGATCAATAATATTCGATACTTCTTCGTTGATCTTTTCACAAAAAAACATGAACAGTGGTTATAGCAATTGCGGTGATGGTGAATGACCGGTAGAAAATTATATCGAAAACTCTTGGACGGATGAACTCTGTCCCTGATTCAGGTTTCTAAGTTTTCTAATCGATGCAAAACTTTTGCATTGATATCAAATGTCGACGAAACGGTCCTGACTCTCCGATTTGTTCCACGATTTTCCTAACGCTACCAGAAGAAATAAATGCAAACGTAAACAGGAAATTTAATCGTATGATCTTTGAGCAGTCCATATGATTACTCCACACATTGCATCATTCTAAGCATAGTGGGAAGTACAAGGGGAAGCTTTCCAGCTACGTACACAGGCGACAGTGTGTAACACAATGTCCGTTAGTGTGAGAAAGAGCGTATCAGAGTGTGTCTCACTCACACTAGCAAACACTGTGTTGTACAGTTAGTCGCCTATGTACGTGGCTAAAAAGCTCCCAAGGTGTGTGCTCGTGCGCAAGCATTTTTGCTGACCAATGAGAGAGCGTGACTAAAACTCAATCATCTTATGGCTAGTCTACAATGAGAGTAGGCGGTATGGAGTATATAAGGAGCAAAGCACTCAGTGCATCCAATCGAATTCGTCGATACGTACGACTTTATTGTAGAACAGACCCTAAGTTAAGGGGCAATCCTAATTTACTCTCACCACCTGTTTTTCACCAATCAACGTCCTGTGTCAAAGCGCCGGTTGTCTGCATGAAAATCCAGCCTAACGGTTATTATAAACCAATCGTGATGCTTCGAAACATTTGAAGTGAGACATTGACCGTATTCAGAATATAGAATAGAAAAAAAAAAAAAACGACCGTTATAAATTTGTTGACGTAAACATAAACTGAAATAAGAAGCCAGCTACCATTGCCGTTCTTTGTATCGACATTTTGATATAAGGATCTCCTTGTGAAAAGAGTTTGAGAGAAGAATTCTGTGATTTTGTTAATTAATTGCGATTAATTGTACAAGTTAAACACACAAAAGTAAGTACATATCATCTAGATGTGAAACAAAAAATTCAAATAACATGAAAATGACAAAGAAATGTACATAAATTGTTATATTAAGTTTTTATACATCTAAGTTTTCACTGTGATTTAAAGAAAAATATTACATATAATATTAATGATCATTAATAATAATTTATTAACATGTTAACACATAACATATTAACAACACTTATTCTCTTCTTTAATTAATGTTACAACTTTGTATAAATATAAAACTGCTTTCTTTAGTACTTTTCATGTTTGGTTTTAAATAGTTATTTGTTTTTTTTTTCTTAATGTAATAATATAATATATAATAATATAAGCCCAATAAAAGACAAAGAACTATTATCATGATGAAGTCTTCTCTGATAGTGTTCTGTATTTACATTAACTCTTTCTTTGTGAACTGACACTGGTTTGAAATTTTTTAGGACCAGTTAGGTCCTAAGACCTAAAAAATTTCAAACCAGTATTTTAAGTTTACTTTTGCCTGCAGACATGAGTCTCCCAGATCCATTCAAAAATTGCACATTGTTATTTCTAAAAACGTTTTTTTTTTTTAACACCTATATCTTTAACATTACTGGAGATTTTTGAAATTTATTTTATCGATGCAGAATTGTTCAAACTTTTGATTCGAAAAAAAATAGAAAAAAATATTGACTTTTTGCTGAGATCTTTGATAAAGTCATATGGGATTCACAGACTGAGGCTGCTTTCCTTTTAGGAGACACAAGTCGACACAAAAGTCATTCTGTCTTCGTTCAGTATTCAGTGAGAAACAAAGACAGAATGACTCTTGTGTCGACTGTCGGCCGATTTCTTCATACCTCTCGATAGCTATCCTCTGGATAAATTCTTCTGAGAACCAATAAAGAGAACCAATTTTGAGAGATATCTTCTAGATAAAGTTATCGAAAACTTATCTAGAAATGAAAAAATTGGCTGTTAGTCCAACTATACAGAGTGTACATACATTATCTATTACATTATTAATTACATTATCTCTCGCAGGCAGATGGAAGGAGTAAAACAGTCGAGTAGAAAAGTCCTGAACCATTTTTTTCTATTACATATAATAAAGAGTAAAAATTACACATAAAAAAGAATAATTATTAATATAATTATAATTATTGAATAAATCAAGCCAATCAGCACCGACTTTTAGCCGAACGCAAGTCAGTGAACCACGCGCCTGGTGTGCGTGATCGCTCCACGCGGTTCATTGACATGCGTCCGGCTAAAGGTCGGCGCTGATTGGCTTGATTTATTCAATAATTACTCCTTTATTATATGTAATAGAAAAAAATAGTTCAGGACTTTTCAACTCAGTTTTACTCCTTCTATCTGCCTACGAGAGATGCTAAAGTAATTGTCGGATACTTTGTACAGTAAGCTTTAGTCAGTTCACAAAAGATTAAGAAAATAAAATAAATATATTCAAAAAATGAAAATTTAGAAAAAATATGATTGTAATACAACACCATATTAATAATAATAAATTACCAAATATACTAATAATAAAAATTTAAAAAATACTGAAATTCTTAAATTATAGAAAAATTTTTAGCAGGATGCCTTACTACGGAGTAGCTAATGGGCGTGCTAATGGAGTTTATGATAATTGGTAAGAAAAAAATAGAAAATAGTTATACTGACGCTAAAAAAGAAGATATGTTTATAAAAACTTTGTTATAAGGCAAGACTGCAAAGATCAAGTACACGGATATTCTTATAATAAATATAAGAAGTTTGACACACCGGATCAAGCTTGGGACTTCGTTGATCAACATTCTTCTTCAGGCGGAGATCAGTTTGTTCAACAATCTTCTAGTAGAAAAGCCATAACTAGTGGAAATAATCAACAACTAGCATTAAAGTATAATTCTGGATTAGAATCAAGATCATTTCAACGTACTGATTATGTGGTATGTGACCGAACTTTTTATATATGCATAACAAAATTATTCAAGATATATTTTATTTGCTGTTTTTATATATATAAATCAAGATAGAAATATATCTATTTTTTAGTGTTTAGAATCTAAGAAGACAAGTTAGTTTTCTAGTTTTTTTTTTTCGTAAAAAGTAGTGTTTCTAAGATAAATTTTGATTTTCTAACATTGTGAAGACTTCAAAAATTTGATGTTTTTTTTTTAACATTTTAAACAATTCTATTAATTTACAGGAAGGACAAAATGGTGTAATTATGCGTGAACGTACTTTTACTAGTGGTCGAAGTGGCAATGGCTATTTTGTTGAGAAACGTATTCGAACTTATTGGGAAAACTAAGTTGACAAAAGCTAAGCTTTTTTATATATTAGTTTTATATAATACATTGTTACAGTATAATATATATTACATTATATTACACTAGTATCACATTATTACCAGTACAATGACATAAACAAGTATTTTCAATATATAAATTACGGTTTGTTGCACATTCCAAGATCGAAGTTAAAAATATATTATTTTTTTTTCTTATTACTGTAATAGTCTTTTCGTTGTATGCATGTATATGATTAATAAACATTTGTCATTACTGCTTCATAAAAGAATACACAAAAATAATTTAGAAAATGATATAAAAACATTTATATGTTGCTTTCTACAGTTCTATGTATTGTCTGCATTTAATAAATGTTTCGAAATATTGAAGATGTATTTGTTTTAAACAAATTGAAATTTAACTCTGTGTGTTCTAGATTAAGCGCAAGATACAAACGCGAGTCGCGTAGAATTGATGACTAATCACAATTGATCAAATCAGGTAATCAACCAACATGATTGGTCAATTCTATTTGCTGTTTGTTTGTCTTGCGCCTGATGTATAGGCTGCGTTCGGGGAACGCGCTATCAGCGCTATTGCGTCATTCTATTATTTGTTTTACATCTAATGAACAATAAAGAGAATGATGCAACAGCGCTGATATTGAAAGAGGACGCACTCAGTGCGCACTAGTGCATCCAATCGAATTTGTTGTTAAACTATACTGCGTTCAATTTGAGAAGAGAAACCGGAAGAACGACAACTCGTTCGTTTTGCGCATCTTCCACAAGAAAGTCTCCCTACTCCATAGCCATTGGGTATCAGTAAGAGCTAGTCTGCAATGAAGGTAGTAAGGCTGTAGAGAGCATATTAGCGCGCTCTTCGAACGTAGCCTGAGTGAGCGTTCCAGTATAGTATATATAGTTCAGTAGCACTAAATTGCTGTTGCTACCAACTTAGCAACGGAACGGAGACGAGAGAAACAGCTGGTACTGCTACAGATGACAGCTGTCGCGAACGGCAGAATCGCATTCAACGTTGACAGTTTTCTTTCTATTCACGAAAATTAGAGTATATATTATTATTATTATGTGGTAAGCAATTTTGCACAAACTTTTCGTTGAACGTAACTTCTGTCCATGTTCTATGTGGTACAAGTAGTACGAGTTTGATGCAAAACTGATGACCAGTCTTGGAAACAATCTCGCATCGTAGATTTGCTAGGCAATTTTTTGACGATAATACCGTGAAAAAAAATTATATTTCATGTTACTAAAATATGTTTGCCAGTTTCATCAGAATGTGTGAACGTTAATTCTCTTAATATTTTAGATGATGTAATTATTGTGCAACAAAATAATTGTATAATAACTTGATTATTTTCTAATATGTGTGATTAATTATTATTAATGTTGGTTTGTATATTTTATCAAGCACATTTTATGGAATAGTTTATTAAAAATAAAATATTTCATACAATTTTTTATATATTTATGGTATTTAATATTTATATTTTTATTTCTGATTTTTTTCTTTCTCTATCTCTTTTGTGAATTTGATATTGTTTAGCATATTAATTTCATACTTGTTAATATATTTATTTTTTACAGATATTTTACTGCATATTCTGGTATCAAAAAAACAGGTTTTTCAACAAATGGTTTATTAGAAGAAAAGAAAAACAACACCATGTTCTCTGCTATTAAAAGATTAGCTGGTAAATCTGATAGCATTAACAATGTGTCCCCTAGACCAGCACATCAATCTATGCCAACAAATTTACAAAGAAAGTTCGCAAAGGGTGTGCAATATAACAGTAAGCGCATATAAATATTTATTTTTATACAATTGTAGAATAGAAAAATGGTAGTGTAATACAAAACCCACATATTATTTTTAGTGAAAATAATAATAAAAGGAGACAGGAATGTAGGAAAGACATGTTTATTCCATAGACTGCAGGGGCAAAAATTTATCGAAGAGTATATACCTACAGAAGAAATACAGGTGGCTAGTATACAATGGAATTACAAAGCCACCGATGATGTGGTCAAAGTTGAGGTGTGGGATGTCGTAGATCGCGGCAGACGTCGCCGGAAATTGGAAGGTTTAAAAATGGACAATGCTCCAACCAGTGCTGAGAATATTATTGAAGAACCTGCCTTGGATGCTGAGTTTCTTGATGTTTACAAAGGCACTAATGGTGTTATCATTGTAATGGACATAACAAAAAGCTGGACGTTTGATTATATTCAGCGAGAACTGCCAAAAATACCAAGCCACATACCCGTTATCGTCCTTGGCAATCACTGTGATATGTCCCATCACAGAACTGTCACTGCAGATCATGTAACATACTTCATAGATTCGCTACATGAGAGAACCGCACAAGTAATTCACCTAATCGTCTTTTTCTCAATTTGAATAGTGAATAATGTTCTTAAGTCTAAAATTTTAATTAATCATTTTTGCAGGTAAGATACGCAGAGTCGTCGATGCGAAACGGTTTTGGTTTAAAACTGCTACACAAATTTTTCAATCTGCCGTTCTTGCAACTGCAACGCGAAACGTTGTTGAAGCAGCTAGAGACCAACGAAGAGGAGACACGTTTGACCACCCAGGAGCTTGATCTTTTCCAGGATAGCGACGATGCTGACTATAACAAATTTCTGGACAATCTTGTAAATCGAAGAAGAGCCCTCGCTGATTCAGTATCTGCCAATAATCTAGTCTCTAATGTTTCGTCGTCTATTAATAATCATCATCTTGCGTCCCCTAACACGAATAATATTATCGGAGAAGTTAAAAGATCGGTTTCAATGCCTGGTCCGATTGGCGGCGGAACTCCGATACCAGTAAAAAATTTGGATATAAAATCATCGTTATCAAGAAAAGAAAGCTCGGTATCGAGCACCTTAGATAATTTATCTACTTCTATAAAAACTTCGCAAATCATGACACCGCCTACTTCGCACAATGCCACTGCGAAAATAGATGTGACTAAATCGGTTGAATTCGCCAACGACGGTGAGAAAAGAGATCCGCTCAATCGATCGCAATCACTGATGTCCAAAATCTTCGGTCATAAGAAAGAAGACGAAACAGACGAAAAACTAGTAAATATAAAAAATCTTAATTTGAACACACCATTAACTAGCGTTGAAGACTTTATACCGGATGATGGAATGCTGGATAGATCGTTTTTGGAGGATAACAATCAAGCTTCGCCACAAAAAATGCAGCAAGAAGAAGTGGATTCTGAAAGGTAAGTGAAAAGTACTTTTTACATTGTTTTAAGACACAATTTTTTTGGTACAAGAGATAAAGATAAAGCAAACTGGAAAATCAATATTAATATTCTGTTATCAATGATATAATTTCTTACACACACACACACATATGTACATACAGTGATACGGAAACTGCGAATCCTCTGGTAGCTGGTTACGAAGATGATTTATCATCTCTCGAAGAAGTAGCGTCTCCAACGCAACCAAAATTAACAGAAAACCCGTTATCCAAGCAGAAACATAAACAAGAGCCACTCTCAGGTCCAGAAATAAATATCGAGAAGCCGAGACAAGCCACGAAACGCGATTCCATTTCTTCCATAGAGCAAGAACTGCATATTTCTAACACTTACGAGTCAAACGAGCAGCCGGACATAAATCCGGATGCGTTCGATAACTGGTTACGACGAGATTCCAAGTGGCGGCAGAGTCCTGAGGGGGGTGAAGATGTGAGCAGCACTAGTACGAGAAAAGATAGATTGGAATTAAGCGATAAAAGCTTGGACGTCAGTATGACAAGTTCTAATGTACACTTGGAGCTACTTGATGATACTAGTATACGTCATGTAAGCTCCAATGCCAGTAGTCCGGTGATGAAAGAGAGAAAAAAGCACAAAGAGAAGGTAATTATTTTGTAAAATTCATCAGAATTTTGTAAATAAGATTTGTATAGATTTTTATCAACATTTACTTGCGTGCGCGCTTAGTTTCCTGTTTCTTGTTTTTTTCTCGTTGAATTCCTTTTTTTTTTTTGTCGTCGATTCTAGGAAGATGACAAAGAAAAGAAAAAAAAGAAGAAGTCGAGAGACAAAGACAAGGATAAAAAAAAGACTGGGAAGATTGAAAAAAAGAAGAAAAGCTCGTCACATCGGTCGAAAGACGAGAACAAACAGCGAGACGAACTCGAGGAATTTCTTAATGGCTCGGCCACAAGAATTGGCGTTGACATGGCCTATGAAGCAATTTAGCACTCAGGAAAGATTATTGATAAAAATGTTAAAAAATTATTTACACACATCTTCCAAAAAGAGATTTCGATCGCTTAAAACCTTCTTTGATTTCAAATGTGTATGTTGTATTCTTGGAAGCAAAAATATGAAATAATTGAAGTTTAATTGCGAGCAAAAAGAGTAATTTGTTTCAAAGATTGCGCTATTAATTTGTAAACAAAATATACTTTGTGCAAAAGCGATTAAATGTACGGTTTCAGATCGTTTTGTTTGAAGTCTGTCTGTTGGTTCAAGTTTTCTGTTGCGATAAAAATTCGTGAATCTTATGGATATAAAACTATGTTCGAACAGTCAAACGCTACATTCATTAGAGATTGCATTTTGGATATTTCACAATTTCTAAGAAATATTTGCGAAAATGCGAATACAAAGAGTTTTTGTATGAACGAGTATAAAATATGACTTCTTTTTATACAGTATGACACATGAAATGTGACGATTATGTGATGTGTTATTAGTAAATAGGAAATAATTTATTATATTTTCATTTTCTTTTTATTTACATTTATTAAATTTATACTTATCTACCTTATTACTTTGTTTACGAATTTTCCGTCTTTAGCTTGAGCCTGTCTGTTCAATATTTAATTCCTTTAAAAAAAGTTATTCAATATACACAAAAATGTTGCGTTATTGTTGTATTTTCATATAATATTGTGTAGCATATGCATGGTGCGATACTTAATTGTAGCTTCATGTTAATAAATGTATATAAAATAGTCTAAAATACAGTCCAAATTCTCTCTACAATATTTCTATAATAATAATTATCTCTGTATTAATCCACATATAATTACATATGATCATTTATTTATGTTTAGATTCTGTTACAGTAGAATCTCTTTTTCGTATAGTCTTGGCCGCTCTCAGTCTTTTCTCTGCTAGTAGGGTCAGTTAAGTCAGCTCCTGATTGGAGTTATCTTGGATAATATTAAATGATCATGTGTAATTATATGTGGAATGTAATTATACATAGGACTACGTATGTACGATTATACAGAGAGTGTAACAAATTCCGGAACGCGGCAACATATCTCGAAAACTAATAAGTTTTATTACAAAAATGTTTGAGAGATAAAAGTTTTAGGGTTTAACAAGATCTATTCATTAGCTGTATTAGTTTGACCTTGGCGTTACCGAGGTCAGGGCAAGGTCATCTTGAATTTTTTAAGCGGGACTTTCTATTTTTTTATTACGCATTCTTACGGGCCTCTCTCTCTCTCTTGTTGAGATCTTTTAAAAATTGTAATCTTATCCACTTTGGATCAGCTCTCTCTAAGTTATCGAGTATTTTATAGTAAAATGTGTCTCAATGGTAATTTGTAGCCCGCTCGAACACGAAAACTGTTTATTATTTTGCTCCGAGTCTTACATGTTTTATTTAGCTCAGGTCGCAAACTACAACTACATGAGAAACCCAAGCTAATTCAACCAAAAGCCAATTTAACATATAGAATTAGTGCGGAATTCTTTTTGAATTGCAGCAAAATTGCGCATGTGCGTGCACTTGGAAGTTATTTCAAAGCTCGCCGATCCGCGGCGCTTTATTTTACACACTCAACCAACACTCAATACTCAACGAACATACCGGAAACAACCGGAAGCTATAACAAAGTTACCGCACTGAAAAGCACGTCGAGGCAAACGCGTGCGAGCAAGTGACAATGGTCTTTGTGAATTAATGAAAAAAGATGTATCAATATTAATCCGATTAACAACTTATTGAGCACAATGTCTTTGTGTTTTCGCACGTTATCCATTGTCAACGGCCAAAAACCGCTGTCGAAGCTTGACCGTCATCAACTGCGAGAGCACGTCGAGTCGTCCGTCTTTCTGAAGCGGGTATGCGTATAATTCGTTCAAGTTTATTTCGATAAATTTTCGAAACGAATTTCTATCACATAGAGCGCGATTCTCGCGTTTTGACAGAATGTGTCATTCTAACCCCTTTGAGTGCTTACATAATCGCGTACTTAAATTCGCAAAGTTAATTTGTGAAAAATGAGATTTTTGTCGCAATTTTATGATGACTGCACAAAATACGAAATTTCGATTTTCTACCAACTGTAATATAATCGAAGATTATAATCAAATAATCGACAGTGCATTATATAGTGTTAAAAAGTTAAATGTCAATTGTTGTTTGCCAATACACACTGTACACAGAATGTTTAAAATTGTCACCTTTTTTCCATTCAACTGTTGATGCTGATTTATACAAATAGGATTATGTATGTTCTTTTTAAGTAAGAATATGTATAGTTTTTTACTTTTCTTATTGTTTCTTTCTTTATAATCTTTTCTCTAGTAACATATAGAGTATATAGTATAGTGATATATATCTATATATTTTTTTGTAAATTTAAAATAAGATTTAAGTGCGAAGAATAAAGAAAAAAAACTTTAATTAAACTAGATATAATTACTAGATTATAATTATTCTTTTTATTTATAATTAAAAGTATGGTTGTATATATAATACACGTGCTAAGTAATTTTTCTCTTTAAGCTAAATTATTAACACTAATTATTTGTAAAATTTCAGTTTTTAGGTGGACAAAGAGCATTATCTATAAGAGCAAATACTGAAAAAGAATTGTCGTTACCTCTTATAGATTCTACACTGCATTCAAATTTTTTACTGCTTTCTCTTGACACTCACAATTATTGGAATGAGAAGCAGATCAGGCAGTATGATAAAAATAAAAATACAACATATTGGTTGCAGACTCCACGCAGGTTACATAATAAGACACAAAGGCTTACTGTTGTATTTTTGAAAAACAAGAAACATTTAGCTACCACAGACACTACATCGAATAATGTTACAGTATTTAAAACACAAAATGGAAATAATAACTTATCTGTACATAATAGTAGTATAATCTCTTCAGAAAGTTTATATAGTAGTCAAAACTCAAGCAAAAATATTTCCTTTACGTCTGATGATGATATTTTAAGAACAAATTCGCAATTATCTCAGCCACGAGATAATGACCATAAACCATCAGAAGATCAACTACAACGTGTAGTCGATTGTCTCAGTCAAGATGTATGTCATATCAGTTATAGGATATCACAGAATTATTGAGCTTTTTTGACTCAGATATTTCTGCGAATAATGCGTTTAAAAGTAAAATAATTCTGTAATATCTCGTACAAGGTTTCTTTTTTGTATTAAAGTACTTTTCTAATTCAGAGTATTGCTTGCAGTTACCAAAGCTGTTTGTTAAACCCCACGATTATTCCATATATACAAAAGACATACTTTTTATCAATAATATTAGAGGGATAACAACAAGGTATATCTTTTTATATTTTATAATTCCTTTTATATATGTATATATATATAGTTTTTATATATTTTATATCTTTATAAACAAATTTCTAATATTTTTCTGTAAAATATATTACAGAGGAATATCGAATTATGCAAAACAACTAATACTGATAAGGACAATTGGACATTTAAAATATGCACACGTTAAGCTTCATGTATTAAAAATCACAAAACATCCTGAAGACGGTACTGTGAAAGTTCGTTGGCGTATATGTGGTATCAGTAGTTGGAAGGTATTTGTCATGTTTTGGAAATTCAGGATTTTTAAAATACACGAAGCAATAAACAGGGATAGCGAAGTGTAAGTAAATTAATCAGTTTTACCATTTTGTATTTTTAAGAAGAAATATTACAGCCATTTAATATTCACATATAATATTTAGTTATATTTTATTATAAAGATTATGAATCTGACTTTATTAGAGTTCTAGTTCTCTTTAGAGGAAGATGCACACAATTAAAGATTTTAATCAATTTTGTTTTATAAAAACACAGATTTATAAAAATCTTATACAATAATAAAATTAATATTTTATAAAATGATGGTATAATTCTCTCTTACAATATTAAAATAATATTTACATAATATTTTTAATAGGTGGTACGATGGTTTTTCTACGTATTATCTTAATGGCGATGGCAAAGTTTATAAACATGTTGCAGACAAAATAATGCCTGATCAAGACGTAGTTGCAAAAAAAGAGGATCTGTCCATTGCACCAAAATTAGCGATATTCACAAGTCTAACGAATATACTTGATAATAAGAATTTTTTCGAATTAAATTTCAACTCGAAATTGCATCAATTAAAAGAAGTGACACATCAATAACAATTAGAAACAACGATATGAATTGCCAATTTCAATATTATCAAAAGTATGTATGTACGTTTCACTTCAAATATGTCATTGCGTAACGATGATTAACAGTGTAGTAAAAGAATATTGTACTACTTAAAAAAATATCTAAGTTGTATGATTACAAACTTGCTCACAATGTATGTTCTTTTTTTGTTCAACTTCAGCAATAATTTTTCTTCGTTATGTTTCAGCAAAAAGATATCAGAAAAATTGCATCTGATTTATAATGAAGTTAGTAAAGTATCTTGTATATTGTGCAATTCACTAATGTCATATTTTTCATTCGCTTCACGTCTTGTGGATTGTTGATATAATAAAACTAAATAATATTGTTGAATTATTGTTTGTTCAATATAGTATTTAAACTTATTTAATATTGTGCCTGTTATAATTTGTGTTTAATTTTTATATGAGCATTGTCGTGTGCAAATTTATTATCATGCTGTAATATTTTGCTTTTGCAAAACTATCTAGAATTTATCTATTTGTTATAAATCTTATTTTTTAGTCAAAAAAGTAAAGCTTAAATATTAAATATCTTTAATTTGCATTTATGTGGTTCTTGATCTTGTTTATCACTTTTTACTTACAACGCACTCAAAAAGAATTTTATAGATATATGAAATCATAAATTTTTTAATTCAAAACACAATGCAATTATTTAATACATTTGTAATATTTTTATACTTCTTTTTATGTACTGGAGCATTTACAGTTCGTTAATCTAGCACACAGAGAAAGGAATAACTTTGTTGTTTTCTGAGGAAAAAGCTTTATTATATGTGTACGATATAAAATGCTACAGTGTTGCATATAAAATTAAAAAAAATATATATATATCTTATTTACATTATATTTAAATTAATGTTCGAATAATAGATTCGAGCAAATAATTACTCTAAACGAGAGCTCGAGCTATTTAATCAATTTGTCCTTGAAAATTAGGTACGGTAACTAGAGAAAAAAGCAAGTTTTGTTTATTTATAATTTTTCAGTTAATTTGATATGAAATTAAGCATTAAAGCTTCCGTTAACTTGAGTTGCACCTTAATTTGACAAATAGTGTCGCATAGGGTATATAAAAATATTGGGGTATATACATATAAATGTTGCCTCAATGTAAAAACCATTGTTATTGACAAGATGTATCAAGAACTGTTTTGCTTTTTATCAACATTCTCGATGCAGACATTGTCATTATTTGTAAAAACAAAAAACATCATAAAAACAATAATGTATCGGAAACAGAAATTATACGCAAAACAGTTCTTACTCTTATATCGCTAAAATAATGTATATTCCACGCGCGACTATTCTCAAATTAAACCGATATCAATTTTTCAAAAAAGTTATAAAAAAAAACTTTGAACAAAAAACCTGAGAGATTTGAACAATAAACATGTTCAAACACGAGATTCGAGTAATTCAAATGTTTGGAAAATATTTTCGAGCACTAATCTAATCTAGAAAGTAGATTTTGTCAGTCGGTGATTTCTCTAGACAAAATACTGTGTGTTCGCAGAGTCGGACGGAATATCTTATTGTAAGATCTAATCTACGCTATAGCGCTGCAGCGCCAAATAATCTTGTTTCGAATGCTTCATTGTTTTTTGGACATGTTTTGAAGTTCGGAAACTTAGTATTATGTTGATCGATTATTTCTTAGCTTAGTCTTATAATTCAGTGATCAGTTGGTCTTTAGAAGATATGCTGGCTGTAGATGTTTCCATAGATACATTGTACAGTTTGCTGTTCCATCTGATATGGAATTTTATATTGACTCTCTGAATAACTTCTCAGATATGGTTCAAGTGATTGGAACGAGTTTAACCATACACTGTATCGAAGATTCTTTTCCACAAATCTCGAGGAACCTTAAGATTCCGATCGAGCAATTGTAGAATAGTGTTTTCTTCAATTTATAAAAAACAATGGAAATGTAAATTTCCTTAGAATAAGCGCTTTTTTTAAGGCCACAACAGTTCTATATTAGGAGACTGTAGTTTTGCAAAAATTTGGTACATTGACAAAACAACTAACCAACAATATATGTTGTATGACATCCAAAGCCAATTGCATAGTGTTGCAAACACAGAATCCAAATAGATGTAATAACCGCCTAAAAGCCACAATCCAAAGACCAATTGAAATAGACAAACAATGAACCAACAAATAAGCCATGGCAAAAGCCATCCACGTACACCTTTCTTTATACCATGTACCATTAATAATCCACATATAATTAATACAAGCAGATAGAAAATCAGGAATCCTCCAACAACTTGCATCGAGCCTCTGACATCAGCCTCAAATAGTGGATTGTACAGTTGTGTTGAATCACCTCCAGCCAGTTGATAACAAATTAATGTAATTAACACTATGCTAATTGCCACTGTATAAAATGCTATAGCCTTGCAGCCTGTTTTTATGCTGTTTGACCAGATCACCGGTGACCAACAAGATTCCAAAAATGCCATTTTTTATTGCTGAAAGAAAATTTAAATTTGTGATTAAATAAAATATATATGTAGCTGGCATAATGCTTTGAATATATTTTTTAAGCAATGTTTAACACTTCTATATGGATCTTTTAAGCATAATGCCTAATATTTACTATAGATTTAAGGTTACTCAATATTTTTTATTAGATACTTAAAAGTTGGAGTTCAATTATATCATGTATTAGTATAAATATTATTATTTAAATTATTCTATATGAGATATCTCTCATACTTTATAAAATTCTATGCACAAAGTATCTAATTAAAAATACTGATATATATTTAGATATATATTTAGATATATTTAGATCCAATAAATATTAAAGCATTTATGTTGATCTCTATACGTACGCTGTTTAACTATATCGTCACACATACAAGTAACTGCCAAGTGAATTATTTGAAACTTTTTATTAATGCACAATACTCAATAATGCTGCACTTCGTGATGGTAAAATAAGACACTTTATTAGGTTGGTTTGGTGCAAAGATAGCTCAGTGAATCGAGCTAAGAAGAGCACTTTTTATTATGCACAACTAAGTCAGAACTGTCATTTAATTCAGTAACTCGAAACGATGCTGTGAGTCTGAGTCAAAACAGTCCGAGACCAACGCCTATTGCCCCTTCCCTTGTCTGCTTGCCATCGCTGGCGCCTATGGCTGTTCCAAATTTATTACCAGCGCTGGCAGCACTTGCAACCATCGTTCCAAAATGTGTTACAGCAGCAGAGAGAAGACTGACGATCGTTTTCATCATCTCCGATTAACTTAATCGGCCGATTATTTCATTGAAATTATCAGTTGCATTAATCGTTTAGCAGAATGGACCAATCATGGATTGATACTTAATTGCCGATTAAGTTAATCGAGAGATGGTGAAAACGAGAGCGGCCAGGCCCATAAGAGAATGTGTAATCGCTTTTCCTATATGTATATATATATATTTTTTTTTTTTTTTTGCAATCAGGTTATTATAGGATAGGAACGTGACTAGCGCATCTCTCCCACTATTTTTTATTTCTACATATTTATCTGTTAGATACTTAGACGGTGCCAAGTGCCATGTAATTTATCTTTTGGTTTCCGGTTACTTACCAGATATATAAATTTGACCGACACGTGAAACAATGCAAGAGTTTTAACTATTAGATTACCCGATACTTTGTCTGAAAGTGGAAAACAACCGGTCCTTACTAGAAGAGGCTAATCATAGGATGGTCGGTCTCACTGCAAATGTTTCAAAGCATCATTCTATCTTTACTTCTCGATGTAGAATGAAGATAAAATGATGTTTCGAAACATTTGCAGTGGTGCTTTGACCGCACCCATAGACAGTAAGCGCAAAGCGCTTGCTAAGCTCTGAATTCCGTTGAACGCATTGGCTGCCAGCGAATATCCCGCGCGCACAACGACATCGCCACTCTGCCCGTTTTGCTTTCTTTATATGCGCAGACCGAGGATATTCTTATTAAATATATATTTTAAATATATATTTTTCTGTTAAATATATATTTTAAATAATTTTGATATAATACACAATGATTTTTAAAGATTTTAAATTTCTGTATGCTAGTTCAGATATTATTTGAATCCATAATAGCTTGGGACAGCAAAGGTCTTAGTTCTTCTCTTAATAAAGAATGTTTATCACCGTGTGTTATCATCAATATTTCATTTGCTGTTTTCAGCGCTTCTAATGCTTCAATTGATTTTCCTAAATGCAGTTGTATTTTTCCCACTGTGAGATACAACAGTCCTGTCAATGGGTGTATTTCACCATAATACATTCTGAAAAATAAAATAAAATAACAAAATTATTCTGAAATATTATTGTATGTAAATGTGTAAAATATTATTGCAAAAAAGTTTCTTAAAAAAAATAATAATATATCACATAATAAATAATAATAAATCACATTACTAACAAATATCCTGGTATAAGTTCTTTGCCATATAATTCTGCATCTTCCCAACATTCCAGATTGATTGCAGCAATATGAGCTGTTTCCAGAGTACGAATATGTTGTATATTAAACTTATGCAATACTCCTTTCTGTTTCTTTAAACACATCTTGCTGACGTCAAGATCTATTTTCATTAATAAGGATAAAAATATAAAGAAAAATATTACAATTGTATTGTAATATTTTTGTAGTTTTGATTATATTTTATGTTGCAAATATATATCACACACAGAAATTTTATATTAATATATATACGTAGAGGATACAAGCCATAGTCTTCATTTTTTCCAAATGATGAGAAGTAAAATCTGTTACTTCTTCGAATGTCTTTTTAAATTCATCGAACAAACTTGTGTTGCATTTTTCACATTCAATATTTTTGATTATACACGGAGAATTACATGAAGAATTTGGACAAGCGGCTGCACTAGCCGTAGAATCCACATGTTTACATTTTTCACAATCACACAAAAAGTAATACGAACTTTGCAATTCTTCGCGTCTATCCTTAGTAGAATTAAGTAAATCGATATACGATATTCTTATCTATGTGAAGAAAATTATAAATAAGTTTGATAAAAGATTAAGTATTTTATATGTTAGATATAAGTGTGATCTGTATTTTGCCTTTACTTTTTAACACAAAACTATTTTTTTTTTTAAGAGCCATAAAAATTTGTACAAAAGTCAAATATTATTTAAGTATTTTTTTTTTATCTGTTTTAATTTAATACTTGCTTGTGACCAATCTAAAGAGGGCAGATCTTTTAATGTCCTGATATAAATGGTGGTTCCTTCAAACACAGCAATTGCATTGGGTGTGCAACTATGATCAATTACTGATGCACCTAGATAAATACCGGCTCCGATGGTGTTCATGTTATTGTCTAATATATTAAAGCAGTTCGTACATATTCTACCGTAAATACCCATCAGCTCTGCAGCATTTGGCATCAACGACTCGCCAAGAAACTGAACCAACACTCCGTACAACATGGTAAAATGTTCCAATTTCTTTGGATCTTTTTTTATATCTGAATAATCTACAATTCAGACGCAAATGTTAATTATATATATTTTTGTTCTAAAATTTATTTTATTTATACTTGGAGAGTATACATACGAGACATTAAATCTTTGAACTTCCTGAAACTTGTTTCTGTGTAATAGCCTACTTCATCAGCCCCACCTTGGTTGAGTTTGAAAATTATACGTGCCATAAGTCGTGCCGCGTCTGGCAGAATCTTTGGCAATATCTTTTTCAGATATTTACATTCTGTTTTATGTATCGACCATGATTCTTTTTGACAATAGCGATCGCAGTAATAAACATAATGACAACCGGAACATTTGGATAATTTCCCACTGCAATGATGATGTTACAGTCTCGTTTATGAAATAAGATGAGACACTTGTGTATGTTTATTTCATATACACAGATTAAATATATTAATTTAATCTTTTAAATAAGATCATAAATATTTTGCAATTTCCATTATTGGAAATATATAATAAAAAATAAGAGTTACTTTAAAACTATAAGTACTATAAAAGAGTACCTTATACCTTTTTAAACAATTGTCACATCGAGTAGTTCTGTTTTTTGATGTGAGAGCGAAGACAAACGGTTTGCTAGTAAAAATTGTTGTTCCTTTTTTTACTGTGTTATCACTCATTTTACGTTCACAAATACAATATATATATATGTGTGTGTGTGTGTGTGTACATACAAAGCGCGCGCTTAACTATTAAACATCCTTTTGTTGCAAATAAATTATAAATATATGTAAATTATTTATAATTCCTTAACCTTTTAAATTGCCGTACAGAGGATGATCCAAATACCGGTATTACACACATAACCTTAAATTTCGGTTGCTGACGTTTTTCTTGCTACTGCTCGGTATTGTACTTTAAATTATTTGTAGTATAATTGTTTTGTACAATATCTGAATTATTTATGAGACAAATTATTTTTTACAAAAGATTAAATAATAACGCTATCTTTTAATCTGCTTTTATAGAAAGTTTAAATTTAAATAAGCAAGAGCATATATTTATGTGACAAGTTTTTTTTTACAACAGATATATTTATGTAAACACTCTTACGCTATTTTTTGTGCGTGGGTGTAATAATCTTTTTTTCTCATAAACTTAATACACATTTATTCTATATACAAAAATGTGCTTAAATAAAAAACTAGTGCGTCTGATTTTTTTTAAAAAATCTTTTATTTTTTTCACAGCTTTATATGAAAATTTATAAACATAGATATATTAACAAAAAAGGAAGAAGTTGTGAGCGGATAGAAAATGAAGGAAAAAAAAATATTATATCGATCTTATCTTCATATTAAAAATGTTTGTAATTAGTAGAATCGTATACGTAAAATTAGACTTTAGTTTCACAAAAGATTTAATACATACAAGACTAATTTGATATAAAACTTCGAACACTCAGTATATGTAGTTTCTTATGTGTATCATATATGTATATACAATAAAATTTATACAAAAAATTTTCATAAAATTACATCTACAACATGTAAGACATTACCACAGTCATCTTTGCATCGATGAAATATGATACATTGTTAAAAAACAATTTGTTATCAAGTAACGAATACGTGTATAAATGTACAAGTTATGGCATAAATTGTATTACATACAACTAATCTCACATAAGAAGAAAGAATTTGTTAGTCCGAGGATGGAAGAATAAACACACAAAACACAGATTTTTCTATCAAGATTATTTCTTTTATATGTATCTGATAAAACAAGTTTTACCTTTGTAGGCAATGGTCACATCTTTCGTCACGCACCACCGATCTCACAACATAAGCAAATGGTTTTCCGTACAAAATAGTAGTGCCTTTATTCACAGGCACACGTCTACACCCTTGATTCTTGATTTTCATTCTTTCAGACTTTTTTTTTTAGGTTTTCATTGTTGCCGATTACTTCGTGTAACAAAGACCGTTGAGAGAGCACAATAAGGCATTGCACTTTTCCTCTAACGCCTTTATAGAGATGCACCTTCCCACCATCCGTAGTCTCTGTCATCTTTCTCTCTCATTCGCTGACGTAAAGAGCAAGAGAGACTCAACACGCGCTATTTTAAGATCGACTTATTTTTGTATGATGTATTATTGGAACAAATTAACTCTTTACCTGCTGATTTCAAACACATCCTTCTTTCTCTTTCTTTTTTCTCAATGCATAATCAAGACAAATCTTACGCTTATTTACAATTAAACATTTATAGTGAAACTAAGATTGACGAGTGTTTTTTTATACTCTTTTTTATACTCTCTTCAAAAATTCATAAATCTTATATTAAAAGTAATGGAAGCATAATATATTCGGTACTAAATTCACCTCAAAACAATCGGATCAATATTCTCGATTGAGTAACTGAATTAAAGAACATAGAAAAAAAGATTTTTATATTATCCACATCAAACGCAGTATGTACAATGTAATTTATTATTCGTGTATAATTAGTCTTTGTATCAGTATATGTTTTTTTTTCCTGTGTTCTTTACCTTTACACTAATTAATCTTACTGACGTTTTTTTCCAGAAGATTCTTCTCGTGAAGTTTTTTTTTTTTATTTCGTCACGTTGTTGAAAAAAACTGATTGATCGATAAGTTTATATACTCGGTCGTTTCCATTGAATCGATGATATATATCGATGTACCAAGTTTTTTTTTGTATCGTTTGATGTTTCTAACGATTCGCTTAGAATTTCTTTGAGCGTACAAAGGAACAGGAACGAGACAAAATTCGCTTTCATGACAACAACCCGATAAGTTCATACACACTTCGCGCATCTAGACGTAGAATAATTCTACCATTCTTTCTTATGCTCGTCCATCGATACTCCACCTGGACCTAGATAGACTATCATTAGAAGACCTCCTATGACTGATAGTGTCTGTAACAAATTAAAAATGTAAGAAATTCAGAAATTGCTCAGAAATTTGTTTAAAAGTATTTTAAGAATTAATCTAGCAACAAGTTCAGTAACGCCTTGTTTTTAATTCTATCTGATTTTAGAATTAAGTTACAATTAAAATTTATAAATAAAATTTATAAACTCAAACCAATTGAGATTGACGATATCTTATATTATTATAAATATAAAAAAGAAGAAATATTATTAGTAAAACTATTTTCTCGCGACTTTCTCCAGTTAAGAGAGAATAAATTTAAATAATAAAACTAACTCACATACCTGAAAGAAGTCATACTTCAGGAAATCCCTAAGCGGTTTATAATCGGGAATAGTCCACCACGCGTTATGATAGAAATTCAACGTAGTGAGTAAAATTACGAGCAACAACGCACTCAGTTTAGTCTTGTAACCAATTGTCACGAGCATCATGAGAATGCCGCCGAGCAGGTCTTGAAGAATCTGCAGAACCGATAGTTCAAAACGGAATAGCGTAACGAACATGAATGCCAGCATAATACGGCCGGTCAGTTGCAATATGTTTTTGGGTTTGTTGTCACCAAGACTGGGAACACCAGCAAAGAGCGATCTGCCTTCGACTCGAGACTCGGCTAATACCAAGAGTAATGCGCCTATCAAGGCTAAATTGCGGAACAAAAACTGTAAGTCCCATAATATACTATATGCGATTGTCTGCAGGATTACAATGAAGAACAGGACGCCGCAAGCTATGCTGACTCGCCATCTGCCTAGTACCATGACGCATCCACCAAGTTGGCCAATAAGGTTTACAATAACAAAGATAGTAGCTAAGAACTTTCCACAACCCCATGATGCATCCATATATTCTCGCTGTTCGCTCCATTGCACCCACATTCGCAAACCATCTTCCAGGAATGTAGCAATGAGACATAAGCGTGCCAATGTTGGAAGTATGTGTTTGCCATTGCGGATTACCTGTAAACAGTAAATACTCTTATGACGCTATATATTTTATATAATATCAAAAAATAAAAATAGAATATAAAATTATTTTACAAAAAATAGAATTATATATTACACATACAATAATTTTATAAACACAGAATGTCTCAAAACATTTTTGTATTCTTATTAATTAAAAACATAAAACTTTTATTAAAGTCTACTGAGAGAAAATTTAATTAATTCTTTTAACATTCAACTCTTGGTGAATAATATTAAATAGTATTAATAAATATATTATTTTTTTATATTGATGAGAGAATATGTTCTTGTTTTTATTGTATATCACACACATATGAATACAAAAGTAGGTCTGTGAAAGCGGACCATATAATCCATATGTCTACCAAGTATTACTGTGCAAGACCATTAATTACAGTATTAAATTACAGTACACATTCTTACCAATAATGAAGAATTACTCCATTGGTTTCTTGCTCACAGATAAAAGAGTTTTGTTAAAGAGCAGATAATAAGAGCATAAGAAAGTCATAGTCATCTTTGCTGACATATGAGACTGTAAATATCGTATAAAATACTGAATTCTTTTGATAAAATCCGTTTGTGAAAAAAAAAAAAAAAAAAAACAAATGATATTACGTGTACGATTTTGGCAAAAATAAAAACGCAAAAAGACTTGTCGCTTTTAATCGCGACGAGTCTTGGCGCGTGGTTTGTCCGGTACGTGTGTCTCGGAATACACCTGTGGAATTCATAACCTGTACTTTCAATTAATGGCGCAGGAACACGACATCCTGGTCGTCAAGTCGCACCGCGCGATTTTTGGGGACCAGGACGAAATAATGCGCGAAACTCACAAGTGAACGCACAAAATTATGGGAAACACATGACGGGAAATAAATGACGTTAACAAGAATGCGCGTAAGTCGCGCGGCTTGCTCACTCACACAGGAGTCAACCTCCTCGTTTACGTTTTTTCCCTCTTTCCAAAACCGAGCAAAGACTAGACTCTCGTCGTCAAGAGGGGTTGCAATCCGCACGACAACGCGGCAAGAAAAAATGACACACAACCGCAATTCACCTGATCGGCAATTTCCTCTGCCCTCGAGAGCACCTCTTGCGAGATCACCATCGTGCGTTTTGTTCAAAACCCGAAAAATTTCATCAGTACACACACTAACGTACACACGTGCGCGCACGCAAGTGGCACGAAGCGGCCACACGGCGCGCGGAGAAAAATGCTCGCGCGCGCGGTTGGAGGGCAAGGGGCGGATGAATACGATAGCGAGGGGGCACCCTATCGTATTCGAGTGTGATGTGGAGATCTCGCGACTGTAGTCGCGTCACTTCCGGTATACGTGGTCGAGAAATCGTGGCGCCGCGGCGATTGTTGCACAATTCAAACGGTTAAAAACGAAATTCGGTTTTTTATGAGTTTTTATCGCCCCGTTCACAATTATTAAAATTATTCTGTACCACAGTCTGTGTAAATTCTGCGCAATAGAAATTGCATTTGAATAAATTGCTCATAACACGTGTATCAGAGAGAAGAATGTGAGCGGCCACGGCCATGAGAGAATGTGTAATCGCCTTATAATATTTTGAATATAAAATTAATACAATTAACGTAAAATTAGAGTTTTTATTAAAAATTATAATTTTTTTAAATAACATTCTTACAGACTTCGGCCGAACACTCGGATAAACAACCGAAGTTACTTTCCAGCAAGTAAAAAAAATCTCGAACAAAACATGCAACAAAATACAAACAAAACACAACTTACACGGTATTCGACAAATAAATAATTTCGTACATAAATAATTCATAAATGCGGATAAAATAAAACCTTGCGGATCTTGAAATCGGCGGAACAAACGTAAAATTGTTCGAACCAATCACAAGCGTTCCCGTCAATTCCGCGTACTATGGGATCGCGCCCTTACATCTCTATATATAGTTGCTCTTTTCTTTGTTCCCATACGCAGGTAATGTTACGTCCACGAGTAAGTTCTCGACCTGTCGTAGACGTACCGCTCATTCATCCTTGTTTTTTCATCGAAAGTGAAACAAAGACAGGGTGACGCTCACGAGCGTTGCGAACTTACCTTACATGCACGGGTTTTGCATACAGATCGAAACTTATTCATTTCCAATTAAAGTGTTGTGTTGATAAAGTTACTCACTACTTTACCACTTTAACTTATGTACCGTCGGTAAATCTGTTCATCATATTTATCGATAAGTGATACAATTGGTACATGAAACACCTATCAACACATTTAGATGGCAGCATTATAGATTTAAGTTACGTTGCGATATTTACTACTGCCAGTAATATTAAAAATCTATACTTCACGTTACATATGCTATAGATTTCCGGTTTAAAAAACGTTTCTGCAGAATAAAAGAGAATACGTTAAATAAGTAGAAAATTCAAAACATACAATTTAATTTAATATTAATTAAAACAATATTTTTTCATTTCTTATTATTTTTATTGTTTGTATATTAACAAAATGGAAATAACGATTCTTTGTCCTAAGTTCTCTTTTCTTAAAAATATGTACAAAAAAAAAAAAATGAGTTACTTGTTTTTACAATACTTTTTATATTTCATTAGAGTCAGAGTTTTTTTTTATCACGATATAAGAATAGAAAAGTATATATTGTTTCAGAAATTCAAAAATTTATTTTTCAAAATAATTATACAATATGTTCTATTTAAGTTCTATTTCGCAATATACGCTCGTATTGAGTCCAAGAAATTCTTGTTCTTCAACGTATGAATACACACACAGTCGACAATTGCAGTCGTCGTCATTTTGGTCTTGCAACGAGAAACCGAGTTTCCTAGAGAGATGCCGCTTTGCGATATCCTATCTGCTGCCGCGAATACGTACCGCATGTGTATGCCACGTATATCAAGTCGTAATAGAGACGAGGAAGGTTTATTGCTCGCTCGCGCCTCTCTCTCTGTGTGTTGCCTGGTTACACATAGGCGCTGAGTTATTTGACTCTCTTACCCTATTTAGGACCCGGGGCAGGAAAAGGATGCTGACGAGCGCACATCTGCCCGCTGATCTTGCTTACATCTACTCTCGTACCAAGTAGTTGCGCGCACACAGGTAGCAGTAGTCTCTCTATTAACGCGGAAACTCGAACTAAAACTTCCGCGAATAAATGCATACGCGCGAATTCGTGTAAATTCATAGGGAAAAGAGAGTCAGGAGATTTTCAGAAAACTTCATCGGAGAAACTACAATTGAGAGGCGGAAAATATGCATTTTCCGCCAGAAAGAACGTCTTCTTCGTGAAAACTTCTTCTTTTTTTTTTTTTTATCATAATACACCAGCGACTACAGAGATATTTCTTTTTATATTTGAAACAGTTTTTTTTGTTAAAAAACACAAGGAATTACCTTACGAGCTGTTTAAGACAAAAGCGTAACGTCTTTATGTTTCAACATAAGTTCATATTTCTCGATTTTAACCCTTTAGCTACGGCGGTTTCCTCGCCGCTGAACGAGACGCCGCGCCAAAAGTGTGTATGTTGCGCGCGGACAACAGTCTTCAATGTTCTACATTTTACACGTAAACGTCGCTTTGACAATGTTTTTTTTTGGACGGAAACAAAGCATGGACAGAGACATATATTTTTCTAACAAAGTCAAATCGAAACTGCAAATGCAGTACAAACGCATACGATTTTGCGACGAGCGACTAATAGTCGCCCGTCGTGTATACAAGACGTCTTGTGGAGAGCTGCTATAGTATTCGCCCGTCGTGAGCGAATTGGTGAATTATTCTATAACAAAAATCGTAGAATTTATTAATTAAGATAGAATATATTCCGTTTGAAACGCGACGATGTCTTTAAGATTTCCCACGTTTTCTTAAGAACTCGGAGTACATCCCTTTGCGTTGTTCTTGTATATAGGCAACGGTCATATAGTTGTACACACGCGGCTTACGTAAGTCGAGGACCCGAGCGTGATTGCATTCGTTCCTCGAAACGTCGTCGCGAAGATCGAGCGGTGAGAATCGCGACTCTGTATGTGCGCGTGCGAGGCTGGCTGGCGCCGCACTGTCGCATCCTATATACAAGATTGCTTTCGCGCGGAGAGACACAGATAGAGGAGTTCCCGTGGGTGTCCGCTCGCAGAAAGATAGATAAGCGGCGGAAAAAAATCAGAATTACCACATCTATATCTGGGAAATATCGATGCTCAATAAAACGCGCGCGCACATTCGGCCCTCCGTTCGGATTGTGGAGGGTGTTTCTTGCTGCCAAAAATTTTCGCGATGGGAAGATTGATTTTTTGTTAGATAAAAACTTGCGGTGAATTAATTGAGACATTAGAATTATATATATTATATATATATATAATATATATAATTCTAATGTCTCAATTAATTCACCGCAAGTTTTTATCTAACAAAAAATCAATCTTCCCATCGCGAAAATTTTTGGCAGCAAGAAACACCCTCCACAATCCGAACGGAGGGCCGAATGTGCGCGCGCGTTTTATTGAGCATCGATATTTCCCAGATATAGATGTGGTAATTCTGATTTTTTTCCGCCGCTTATCTATCTTTCTGCGAGCGGACACCCACGGGAACTCCTCTATCTGTGTCTCTCCGCGCGAAAGCAATCTTGTATATAGGATGCGACAGTGCGGCGCCAGCCAGCCTCGCACGCGCACATACAGAGTCGCGATTCTCACCGCTCGATCTTCGCGACGACGTTTCGAGGAACGAATGCAATCACGCTCGGGTCCTCGACTTACGTAAGCCGCGTGTGTACAACTATATGACCGTTGCCTATATACAAGAACAACGCAAAGGGATGTACTCCGAGTTCTTAAGAAAACGTGGGAAATCTTAAAGACATCGTCGCGTTTCAAACGGAATATATTCTATCTTAATTAATAAATTCTACGATTTTTGTTATAGAATAATTCACCAATTCGCTCACGACGGGCGAATACTATAGCAGCTCTCCACAAGACGTCTTGTATACACGACGGGCGACTATTAGTCGCTCGTCGCAAAATCGTATGCGTTTGTACTGCATTTGCAGTTTCGATTTGACTTTGTTAGAAAAATATATGTCTCTGTCCATGCTTTGTTTCCGTCCAAAAAAAAACATTGTCAAAGCGACGTTTACGTGTAAAATGTAGAACATTGAAGACTGTTGTCCGCGCGCAACATACACACTTTTGGCGCGGCGTCTCGTTCAGCGGCGAGGAAACCGCCGTAGCTAAAGGGTTAAAATCGAGAAATATGAACTTATGTTGAAACATAAAGACGTTACGCTTTTGTCTTAAACAGCTCGTAAGGTAATTCCTTGTGTTTTTTAACAAAAAAAACTGTTTCAAATATAAAAAGAAATATCTCTGTAGTCGCTGGTGTATTATGATAAAAAAAAAAAAAAGAAGAAGTTTTCACGAAGAAGACGTTCTTTCTGGCGGAAAATGCATATTTTCCGCCTCTCAATTGTAGTTTCTCCGATGAAGTTTTCTGAAAATCTCCTGACTCTCTTTTCCCTATGAATTTACACGAATTCGCGCGTATGCATTTATTCGCGGAAGTTTTAGTTCGAGTTTCCGCGTTAATAGAGAGACTACTGCTACCTGTGTGCGCGCAACTACTTGGTACGAGAGTAGATGTAAGCAAGATCAGCGGGCAGATGTGCGCTCGTCAGCATCCTTTTCCTGCCCCGGGTCCTAAATAGGGTAAGAGAGTCAAATAACTCAGCGCCTATGTGTAACCAGGCAACACACAGAGAGAGAGGCGCGAGCGAGCAATAAACCTTCCTCGTCTCTATTACGACTTGATATACGTGGCATACACATGCGGTACGTATTCGCGGCAGCAGATAGGATATCGCAAAGCGGCATCTCTCTAGGAAACTCGGTTTCTCGTTGCAAGACCAAAATGACGACGACTGCAATTGTCGACTGTGTGTGTATTCATACGTTGAAGAACAAGAATTTCTTGGACTCAATACGAGCGTATATTGCGAAATAGAACTTAAATAGAACATATTGTATAATTATTTTGAAAAATAAATTTTTGAATTTCTGAAACAATATATACTTTTCTATTCTTATATCGTGATAAAAAAAAACTCTGACTCTAATGAAATATAAAAAGTATTGTAAAAACAAGTAACTCATTTTTTTTTTTTTGTACATATTTTTAAGAAAAGAGAACTTAGGACAAAGAATCGT